AATTCAGCCTGTGGCTGCAAGGTTCTTGATAATAAACTATCTATCTATCTATCAATCGTCCGCTTTTAAAGCAGCAGATATAAACATAACCTTTTCAGTTTGCAATGAACTATAGACAGCTTGTAAATTATGTAGATTGATGAAGTTTTGAGATGAACAAATTTAAAAAGTTCAATTTCAGGGTTACGAAAAGACATATTTTCTTTCAGTGCTCTTTATCTCAGATGCATTTTGGAGTGATGTCCTCGTTTTTGTGGTGGAAATTTAAAAATGTAGCAAATAAATGTTTTCCTTAAAAGCTAATAAAAAAACGATCCATTCAAATTAATTTGGCTGAAAATTGAGTCATGATGTTTAAAGCTTCCAGTTGAAAGGAAAAGCGCTGTGAATTTTAGAGTTTGTGGGCTTCACACCGGCATAAAATCATGTACATTTAATGCTTATCAAAAATATCTGAAATACTGAACAGAGTTATAACAATAATTCAAAAACTTTCCTTGATGCTGTTTTTCGATATTGAAAAGTACTTGTAAAGGATTTCTTCATCATATCATGAACGTGTTTTCAGTGAAACTGGGGCCAATCCGCTGTGACTCACCCTTAGAGTGTATGCATTAGGAAAAAAAATGTCCATGACGCGGCAAAAAATCACTAATGGGTTTGACGTAACTGGCACAAAGACGCCTAATTGTTAATCTAAAGTAGAACTTCAATATTTAATATCAAAGTCAATTATCTTAGTAGGAGATACATTAAGCGTCTTCCAGTGATAGAGTTGTGATAGAAGATGTACTGGAAAGGAATTTGTTGTGGTTTAGCCTATAAAAATTTCAGAGGTCGTGTTGACAAAAGCGAGAAAAAGCTATAGAGGGTCTTAATGGGGATAACCGTTAGCCGTAAAACGGCCAAAAAATTTAGCCGTTAGGCGTAAAAATTGACAAATTTTAACCGTTACTCGTAAAAAAAGTTTACCGCAAACAATATGTCTGGTGGAAACAATGGAAAGGTGTTAACCGTTAGCCGTAAATTGGCCAGAATTTTTACCGTTAGCCGTAAAAGCCATCACCCCATTGAGACCCTCGCTATAGTGTATCCTCTGACTTCCACAAACAGAGATAGTTGAAACTCTCCATGGAAAGGAACATTCGTTTAAGTTAGGGCATAGATTGGAAAGTATAAGGGATTTCGCATGGATTTCAGGCTAACTAGACTTATTATGTAGTGTACATAATATCTGCAAGCTGCATGGTCGAGTGGCCAACTTGTGGGTTCTAATCCCCTACCCTACCACCCAAAGGATTTGTTTTAGATATCCTCGATTCCAATGCCTTGTGCCCTGTAAATAGCTGAGTGGTTTTCTCTCTGCGATCTGCTGTGGGATTTAAGTCAGTTTAAGTTTACTTGAAATACGTATTTCAACAACAAAAGAATCTAACTTAATTGATTCTAGGGAATTATGGGAGGAGATGAAACGGATTTGGAAATACTGAATATGTGCTGTATTAATTCATTTTAAAAATTGATCAAATCAAAACAAAAAGAAAAGAGAAAAAAAAAGAAATATTATTTAGAGCATGTCACAAACAAAAAAATTAGAGCCAACATTTACAAGAGGCAACGTCTTAATACTTTTTTCAGCGTGTAATCGGCCTACAGGTTGCGATTTCACAACCAAAACATCGAACACATTCCTCGCCCGGTTCACAGTCTGATAACACACAGGGATTAAAATGACACGGTGCAAATGGAGCTGGCGTACAGAGAGCTGATCCTAGCTGGATAAGAAACGATTTGATATGACCCACCCACCCCCCCAAGCAACACAATCAACGGTATAACGTTCGTTCACAATGTATTGAATGTACCATATATGGACACGTATGACCACAAAATCTTGACACAGCGAAAAATAATGGACATGATGCAGCAAAAATCACCAAATTGAATACAATAAACTTCTCACTAACAAGCCTCTTCTTACAAGATTGACGATCAAGTGTAGACGTCAGACGTCAGACGTCAGACGTAAGCCGCAAATGAAGACACGGCTGGGTGTTTGAAGAACGCGGACCGGATGACTGCGGATGGCGGACGCGGATGGGAAAATGCAGATAGAAAAGCGCTGATTGGAAAAAAAAATGTATATGTATATATATATATATATATATATATATATATATATATAACAGGAAAGTCAGAGTACATAGTTACCAATTCAGCCCACTTCGTATCCACCGTCAGCAATGAGACGATCTTAGACAACGAGCTATGGTATCTTTCGACGTAGAATCGCTGTTTACCAACGTTCCTATCGACGCCGCTGTACAAGCCGCACTGCTGAAACTCGAGAACGACCCAAGCCTTGCAGACCGCACAACACTAACGCCTGCACAGATCGCTGACCTTTTGAAATTCGTATTGAGATCCACATACTTCCTGTATAACGGATCGATTTACGAGCAAAAAGACGGCGCCGCCATGGGGAGTCGGGTTTCTGCTGTCATTGCTAACCTCTACATGGAGAGTTTCGAAGAACAGGCGATAATTACATCATCCTACGAGCCTAGGATCTGGAAACACTACGTGGACGATACCTTTACCATCCTGGATCGCGAAAACGTAGATGACTTCTTACAGCAGTCTTCCATCCGCTTCACCATGGCGACAGAGAAAGACAACAAACTCGCCTTCCTAGACACCGCAGTTTTAAGAGAATCTGACGGCCACCTCACCACCAGCGTATACAGGAAGCCCACGCACACCGAACAATACTTAGCGTATGATTCACACCACCCTCAATCAGTAAAACGCGGTATTGTTAAGTGCCTTTACGAGCGCGCCAAACGTCTCGTAACAAAACCCTCCGTCATCTTCGAGGAGAAAAAACATCTGTTATCTGTTCTGGTTTCTAATGGTTATCCTTTTTCTTTCTTGCAGAAACTTAACAAGACCGGAAAACCAAAAAACAGTGCCGAATCCGCCAACGAGTTCAAAGCTACTGCGGTTTTACCTTATGTCAAAGGTCTGTCCGAGCAGGTTCGCCGTTGCCTTCAACAACAAGCCGTACGCGCTGTTTTCAAGTCAGAGACCACGCTAAGATCTCAGTTAGTACGACCAAAGACGCTTTCGACCCGGCTAAACAAGATGGCTTAGTTTACAGGATTCCATGTGAATGCGGCAAGGTGTAAATCGGAGAGACTGGAAAACCTATGCAAGACAGAATTAAGGAGCACGATCGAGACATTCGACTCGCCCGTACCGAGACCTCCGCTGTTTCAAAGCATGCCCACAACACCGGACACAAGCCACTCTGGAACAAAGTTAAGTTTATTGATCGTGACACTTATTACTACACGCACAGGGTCAAAGAGGCAATTCATATAAGGCTTCACCTTAACAACATCAACAGGGATAGTGGAATAGAAATTCCAGAAGCGTGGATGCCCACGATCAAAAAACACAACAACAGGAGTTGACTAAAGACTAAAAGCGAAAAAGCTATCAACAATTTGTCTAATGTATAAAAAGGGTATTCAATGCAAAATAACGAGAGACACCCCTTAGCAACAAAATAAACGTTCGTGAAGTAAATATATCTTACGAGATGTTTTGGCGTGTACTATCGCAGAGTATTTTTACGAGTTGTACTGTATTTTGACGAGCCTGTGGGGCGAGTAAAAATACAAACAACGAGAAAAAATATTCCGTGATACAACACGCCAAAACATATCTTGAGAAATTTATTTTCCCACTCTGATAGCTACAAACAAATAATTTCTAGAAAGAAACACTTTTTTCGGGAAAGTGTGACAGATTTGCGTGACGCTCGCGCGCGGTTTCCCATAGTACAAATAACCAGATTGCAATATCGCGGTATATTTGCACTCGTCTCGTGCGTTGTCTGCACAGTAATCAGCAGGAGCTACTTATGATCCCGCTCCTTGAATTGTAACAAGAAATGAATTATTTGGTGTCACAATAAAATACTCCAGTTATAGTTTCCGCGTCGAGGTCCAGTTTTTGAGGAAAACTGGTTTATATTCTGTATCTGTCAACCACGGTTAACATCTGATTTAAGTTGACTCTGGTTCCAGTAAAACAGTAGTATTCCTGTCGCTGCTTTACTAATTTTGACTTTATTTATTTATTTTTTCATTTTTTCAAGTCATTTTTTTTTACATCCGCACTTTTCTATCTGCATTTTTACATCCACGTTTTCTCTTCTGCCATCCGCATCCGCCACCGCAGTCATCCGGTCCGCGTTTCACAGACTGACTGTTTTTTATTGTTAATCACTGAGAAACAGCGATAAACAAAGACGTTGAATCAAGGCTTCTGCAAATATAAACAATTTCCAGAAAGGAGTCAGGTTTTTTAGGTCACTGAAAGACCTTTTCTTCCCTTGATGTCTTCATTTTTATGATGAACACCGAAACACATGCTCTCTATCCAAGACGGTATACTGGCTAAGGAATGGAAGAGAGGAACTAGAACGAAATCATTTTGGCTCTACGTTTATGTTTTCACTTTTGTATTAAAGAAGAAAGTTGGTGAACAAAGATAAAAATGGAGTAATTAAGTTTTAATGATTTTTCTTGAAGCCACTCTCATGTATGGCACGCAGTGAAGGTCATCGTTTGTCGGCTTTAGACTAGCGTTAAACAATTCAAGTGCATTGTTCATTAAAAACTAGACGCCTACAGGCGTTTAATCGGGTTACTTATGTGTGACACAGAGATAGTATCTTTGCATAAGGACTTTGGAAATGCAAACAATCACACCTAAAAAGAGGTCCAAGAGGTTCCCTTTGGCGAGAGCTTTGAGTGTCGTGCATATCTCCCAAAATTCAAGCTTGAAGAAAGTGAATGTGGCCTTTGTTATCAGATAGAAATGGAATTTTTGAAACATATTATCTATCTGCAAAATTGTGTACCAAAATTGGCAAATTTACATTCATAAACATACATAACCATTGCTTTTTTTTCACATTTGTTGCGTGACATGGCATACCTTTTACCTTCTTCCAATGAATTGTGATTTAGTGGTATGCTAAGTTAAAGGGAATGGAAATCAAGGGTTCATTAGGTGAATTTTGGAAAGATAGTCAAATATCCTGTTTACTATGTTTGTTTTGAGGTCTCCCATATCCTTGTAGAATTAAACTCCATCCAGTATTGCACATACTAATCCTAATAATCACAAAAACCCTGGATAAAGCGTTGGGTATACCTTAGGCTGAAAATAAAATAGAGGTGAAATAGTCAATCAACAAATGAATAGTAAAAGCTTTACTGAAACGCTAAAAATGATCATTGTAACAGCATAAACATTAACCGAGTTTAAATACTTGATGGTACAGTTTACTCATATTTGTGCAGGATTATCTTATCTATATAAATTTCAAATAAGACATTGATAACGAGTTCAGTCATTCACTATACGTATCATTACAGAATAAACATTATCGAACTTAGATGCTTGATGGTACAGTTTACTTATATTTGTGCAGGATTATCTTATCTATATAAATTTCAAATAAGACGTTGATAACGAGTTCAATCATTCACTATACGTATCATTACAGAATAAACATTATCGAACTTAAATGCTTGATGGTACAGTTTACTCATATTTGTGCAGGGTTTTTTTTTATCTTATAAATTTCAATTAACATGTTGATCCAATTATTAATTATACATATCATAACAGTGTAGTTGGAGAGCTTTTTCAAATACATCGCAGTCATTTTGTGGAGAGTTTACCAAAGTCTTTGTTCATAAAGTTATTAAATGTTGTAAGCTTACAAACAGAAACATGCAGATGGTGGCCAGTTAGTGATAGTTGAAAAAACGATAGCCTGTTAAAGAAACTGTTTAACATCGTTAAGGAAAACGTACAATACAAAAAATAAGAAACCAATGCTTACTGTCACCGATATAAGTCCAAGGCTTATTGATTCAGTTAACGCATTAAATGTCATCTTGAAAGATTCCAATAAGGCGTCCATGTTGCTTGGAATATTTTCTCTGACTGTCTGACTATCCCCTCAGAGTAGTCCTCAATGAAGTCCTTTCTTACAAAACAGTATTTGTTCGTTTGTCAGTTTGAGCGTGCTCGAGTACTTATGAGTTCACTTGAGTTCATTCGAGTATTTCTGACTTTTTTTTTACATTGTCTTGGGCTTTGAGTTTGTTTGGAGTAATTTTGGCATTGTTATGGCATTTCTTTGGTTCGCGGAACGACCCGTTTCGAAACTGACGCTCGACATCTTTTAGTGTGGGTCTACCGCGAATGGTGTGTACGTTTGTAAGTGCTTTGAGCGTGCCAGAAAGAAAGCAATTCTTCATGATTTTCAATCAAGCTTCGCACCACGAGAAGCAGAGAGCAAAGAGACCTACGAAGAGCAAAACAAGTCACATTTTTTCATCAGCCACCTCGTTTTCACGCTTGCCTCGCTTTAATGGTTGTAGAAGAATACCGCAGACCGTTAAGCAACGCTCGGGCTTTCACACTTTCGACATTGTCGATAGATAGATTGATTTTTATTTCAAAGTATTAACAACAACGAATAACAATAGAAAAAAATCTGTTACACAGTTTGTATCTCGAACAACAATGTCGGGGTGTTTTGCAATAATATTCAATGAATTGGAACTAAACTTATGTAAGTTAGAAATAAGGAATAAGAATAAAAATGTAAGAAAATCACATGCTTACTTTCATTGTTTCTGCAACAACAATTCGAATGTCAAAGTGTTTTGCAATAATATTGTGGACTTTTTACGTTTAATGACATAATGTTTCCATCGAGCGATTGCATTGTTGAAAAGGAAACAATGATTTGATATCATCATTTAAAGTTCCAAATGTACTAATTTCAAAAATATCACTGAACACACGGCACCTATTGACATTGCAGCAAACGATTCACAGTACTCTCTCAGCCAACACCAAACAGGTTCTCGAACTGTTTCACAAGAGCCAATACTTCCTCTTTGTACACATGAATCGTTTACAATTCGAAAAAACTCTCTTTGATTGAAGGTATAGATGTCTTGTCGAAAAATGGCAAAGCAAAGTTAAGAAAGCAATCTACTGCACATGAAAACTTCCTTGCATGGCTCAAGCAATAATTAATGAAATGTGTGTGTTCCTAGTATGTACCCTGGGAATCCCTAATATGCAAGGAATGTCCACTATTTTGTAGTTACCTGTTCTATATCACCATCAGCCTCCAATATGTTTTCATTAACTATATGTGCTGCTTTGTTAGTGATAACACAGGGGTTGAAACTTCCATTTGACGCATGAGCAAATCTTCTAAATAAATATTTCCTCTCGTATCTTGGATACGAAACACAGACATTTTGTTAAGCACATTTGAACGAATTCAGCTTTGACTCACTTTAATTACTTTTATGGGACGTGATGTTTTGCATCAAGGCAATAATAAAATTACACGTTCTTTTTGAGAAAAACATCATAGAAAACGCTGCAAAATGAGTTTGTGCACAATTTACTAATAAAGTGAGTTTTGATATTATCCAAACAATAGCAATTACCAATTTACGGTCTGAATATTGACGCGCTCTTTTCGTTTAGAGAAATGTGTTCTACGAAAGCCAAGCTTCTGAACCTCTAAAAAACAGTCGTGGTCTTATGGCAAAACACTAAAAAGAGGCACGCTTGCCCAGTAAATAAGTTTGACTTGAGTTTGTGTTTCAAAAGGGTGTTGGTCGACTTGACAACTGGCACCCTGACCGCAACTGGCAACGGTGGCACGCTGGCCGATTTGAACACGCTGGTTCAAGGATTGATCTAGCTCGACTCGACCATGGCACTCTGACTTTGTTCTCTTACCTTACGTTACATTTTCTCTGAAGTGCTCAAAATTTTTTCTGCGTACACAAAATCCTCGCGCTTCGCTCGGCTGACTCGTTGGCAATCAACCATGACCTACGAGAAATCATTATACTGTTCCTTAGCTTGATACTTAATGACAAAAAAAAAATTCAAACGGTGAGAATACTGAAAGTAAGCAAACTTTTTGCGCACAAACACTGCATTTTGTCTATGATGCCTTCTCGTGCATCTGGTGACCATTGCAGAACCTTAGTCAGTGTTTACGCTTAAACACACTAAATTCATTGTCATGCATGATATTCTGTGGTAATGGATCGGACCTCTGATAAAAGTGCTTATTTAGTATGCTTTGCTGCAAATTTCCCGTCAAGTTTAGCCAAGAGTTCGTGTCACTTATCTTTCTGACAGTCAGTGGAAGAAACTAGCAATGGAGTTGTAACCCTGCTCTAGGTCTTTCTTTAAGGGTTGAACTGACCGTAAAAAGAAAACAAAAATAAAAACAAAAAACGAAAAAAACCGAAAAAACAGTGATGGTTGCTCACAAGACAACTGCAGTTTTTTTCGCTGTCTGTGTCAACAATTCAAACGTACTTGCAGAGAAATATTTTAAAACATTATTTTGACGAATCAAAATCTTTACTGTGTCTTCGACTCTTACGGAGCAATTATTTGTAGTAAAACTTGAATTTTGACTTTGTTTGTCTACGTTTCCAAACTCCATTTCCACTGACAACCTGTTTTATAAAGCGAACTTTTAACGAGAATTCAAGATAAATTAGGAAAAGCTTTTGTGTCCGTTATGGTATGAACGACTTGTAAGATTCATTCATCGGATATAAATTCAAACCAGTATTTTTCATTGACTTCATTTCTTTCAGGACGCTGAAGGGGGGGGGGGGGGGGG